ATGGACTTACTAAAGGAGGAAATTAACTAAATTAATATCCTTAAGACAAAAATAAAATTTTGGTTATCCTTATACTTTTGATTAATTTATTCCAACCGTATGTATAAATTTTTGTTAAATAAAAATATTATAATTTATAAATAAATTATTTACAATGAATAGAATTGTGTTGCTGTAGATGACTGAAGTTCAATTTGTCCCATTTTAAATTGTAACCTCTGTAACCATCTTAGGAGCATTGGATTATGTAAATTTGCTACTTTTAACTTCTCTGGGATTGCTTCTTGAATAATTGTGGGTGGAAAATTGCGGCAGTTTTGTAATCTTACTTGTAAATGACCAGGCAACTGAAAATAATGTTGAGTTATAGAAAAATATTTCATAATTACATACAGCTATATGAAAGGCTTAAATATAAATAATTAAATTATATTGCGAGTCAGGTTCTGTAAATTGTACTAGTTTGATGTATGTAGTTTATCTCCAAATTTTGGACCGTTTCAATGGTAATTTACATACCATAAATAATTGCATGACTAAGTAACTGGACATCCCAGTTTCAATATTTCAGTCTTCAATATTACCGATAGTACCTATAGATACTAACTAATACTCTTATTGTGGTATTGTTGTAGCAGGTAACTGATTATAATTCCGTAATAAAGGGGTGTTTCAAAAGTTTATTGCGTGGGGTATGAGTATAATTGTCATTTGACAAATCATTCTGTTCTCAAAAGTGAATGTGAAAACTTAATCATCGTCAGTCGAGCTTGTTTAATAACATATTTTGATTTTAAAATGCCGAAAATAACTAGTGTCGCTATTTGGATTAAACCTTACAAGGAGGTTGGATATGGACAAAGTTTATTGTTCAGTTTGTGGCAAAAATTGTAAGTACTAAATAGTTAATACTTTTCTATGTTTGATATGTTATTTAAAATATTTTAATGATTTCATAAATTAATTTAAATTGCATTTATGTATATTTTATTATAAAATAAATATTTTAACTATTTCTGAAATATCAGTGACTACCAAATCATCGCGCTGTTACTTAAATGGAATTTCTTCTATTGATGTCTTTAGTTTAAGATTATAAAGAAATCGCTTATAACTGTAGTTATTTATTAATCAAAATTACCTTGGTTTGAATTATGAGGTGTTTAAACAAATTAAACAACGTGATCGGGCTTATAAAGATTTTAAAATATGTATTGACGTCATTGAAAAACAACATAAAAGGCAGGTTTTTAAGAGACATAGAAATGAGGTAGTAAATATGTTAAAGCTAAAAAAAGAGTGGTTCTATTTTAACAAAATAGACAGGTATAGAAACAATGTGGAAAACTTTAAAAAATTAATCAATAATAATAGTCGAGAAATGCCAAACAGTGAAATCTTTGAAACTACTACTGGCCTAAAACGGTTAACAGAGTAGAAATAGAAATTCAAATCTATATGAATTCAACTTTGTAAAGAAAAGCTTCTAATATTCCACTTCCACCAAAACCTGTTCTAATACGATGAGGAACATGGTTGGTAGCCACTTTTTTCTATTCAAACTATTTCGTAGATTTAAAAAAATATAATTAACGCTTTAACGAATGAAAATTCCCAATCTCTGCTAGATGCTAAACAAATTTTTAAAAACAACTTTCTCCAGAAGCAACTTTCATTCATTAAATCAAATTTTAGTTTGCTTCAAAAATTTATTACTCAATTAGAATCATCAAAGAAAAACAATGGTTTTCAGAAACTTATTGAGGTAACTGACGTTCTTGTTGGTAATTCTTGCGAAGAAATAGATGTAGAACCAAATACTTTATTGAATTTAAAATATTCTCCCATTACTAGCGGTATAATTGCCTTATTTTTCAAAGTTTATTACTATATAGACTATATAGAATTTAATTATATTGATTCTATATAGACTTTAATTATATTGTTGTTTACGTGTAGAATTCGATATTGTTACTATAAATTTAAGAATGAAATATAGTTTAAGGCTGACATTAAGATTTGTATTTCTCAAATCATCTTCAGAAATCATTAAAATATAAAAAAATACTTGACAAAGTTAAAATTACAAATTCCATACAAATTCGATATTCTTATGTTCATGAATGAATGATAATGCAACAATTAATATGGATTTTATTTCCTACAAATTTATAAACAGAACAAACTACGGGACTATTGACTCGTCAATTCGAATATATATATATATATATATATATATATATATATATATATATATATATATATATATATATATTATATAATTTTACAGTTTTGTAAAATCATGATTGTATTATATAAACAGAATGTGATTGTATCAATTACGGGTCTTCGAAAAGATCAGACCTTTGTGAACGGATCGTTCATGACCTTCTCATCCATACCATTACATCCGTGGATGTGGAAAGAAGTTTCTCAGTTTATAAATATATGTACACAGATAGAACCTATTAGTTTTGATTGGAAAATTTTGAAAAACATTTGGTCATTTATTGTTTCCATAATTAAATAAACAATAATTAATATACCATTATTAAATATATGCTTTTCTTAACAGTGTGTATATTTTCTAAAAAAAATGCATATTTAATGCATATTTTCTAAAAGAAATGCATATTTTTGGGTAAATTAGAGCATAATGCGCATATTTTTCTTTTTCTTTTTGGATATTTGCTTAAGTCTAGTAATCACAAAGTTCTGCCTTTAAGTATATGGATATTAGTCAACCTAACCTAACCTAAAAGAAATGCATACTTTTGGGAAAATTAGAGCATAATGGGCATATTTTTCTTTTTTTTGCATATTTGTCTAGTAATCACATAGTTCTGCCTTTAAGTATATGGATATTAGTCAAGTAGAAAAAAAGAAAAAAAAATAATTCATACCTCTATTTAAAACGAAACTGACTATGAAAATGAGCATCAATGAGAATCAAATCAAATGAGTTTTATTTAGAACACCTTGCTTTCTCAGATTGTTTTAAAAGGTTAATGTTACAAAAAATAATTATACTTTACCTGCAATTGATTTGAACAGAGGACAGGTGTCCAGAGCGGTAGCAGTTTTCCTACAAACGTAGACTGACACTCCAACAGCGCCTCCAACATGCTTAAAAAGTGTAAACTAACTATTTCACATAACATTTTAGATTGCTGTATTAGTTGTAAGATGCAGGGTGTTACTTTACCCCAGAAATCAAAAAGAATATTCATAGTTACGTTGTATGCTTCTGTGATTGGTATGTTACTACTTAATCCTTGTTCTAAATAGATCGTCCAAAGCTGAAAAAAATGTTTGAAAATGTATTATTTAAAATTGACAAGATATTCAATATTACAGAGTAGTTCTACTGAACTATGTTCTATGGATCTTGGCAATTTATATTAACGGAAATAGGACTGTTTCGAAGAAATATGAAAATAATCTGGACATAACATAAACTACACAAACAAGTTTTAAGGCATAGGATTATGACCATGTGAATTTGTAATCTCAAACTGTTTCATAAATATTAATATCCTTCCGAATCGAGAATCTACAAAGAAAAAGGTGATGTTCCAGAATATCCAGAAGAGGTTAGCAGCAGGTGTAATTCGACCATGCAGATCACCATACAACAGTCCAGTGGTGACCGCCAAAAAGAAGAATGGCCCTACTCGCTTCTGTGTTAACTATTGAAAAGCTCAACAGTCGACGAGGAATCCTCAGTGGCTCCTATCAATGATACGATCAGCCTATGTGATTGTAACTGTTAACTGCCTCATTTTGAGAGTATACTAAGTCATTAATATAAATAAGAAATAATATCGGACCCAAAACCGAGCGTTTAGGGATACCATACATCAGAGATTGTTTTTAAGAATCACACTGGTTGAAGTGAACGTACTGATCACGATTTGGCAGATACAAATTAATTAGTTGAATAGCAGAACTATTACTACTACTATAGAACATTATAATAAGGAAGTTTTCTTAGCAGAATACTATGTGTGACACAATCAAAAGACAGGGAGATCGAAAAACAGTGCAAGAGTGTCAACATATTTTTCAAACTCTTCCAAAATATTGCTAGTGGAATGATCCATCTAAGGTTGTTATTTTTTCGGAATCCATGCTTTATGTCAAATAGTTTATTAGATTCAAAATGTAGATTTATTTGATTTTTTAAAATTCGTTCATATACTTTTGATACGATCAAACTTCTACAGGGCACAAAAATTCTAGAATGACTAGACTAATTAATATTTACTTACTCTATAATTATTTATTTGCGCTCTATAATTTATTATGAAGTTACTTCTTACTTGGCATAAAATGAATGTATGGAATAGCGACGACATATGTAATATAGACGCCTTTGGTTGTTCGGCAAACCCAGCCATTATCACTTGAATGTGGTCAGCGATTTGACAAGAAGCCTCTTGGGGAATTGGCTGACTTTGTATTTGACAGTTATTATTGTTGTTACCCTGTAATGCCGTATGTGTTAGCGATCCCAGTAAAAGCCATGAAAGAAGTCGTATATGGCCTATGCACTCAATGAATTCTCTTGGACTGAAAAATAAATATTCATGTAATTTTCTCCAAATCAAAACAATAAAATACTAACCTCTGTTGCGTTATTGAAGTACTACATAACCAAGGGAAATATCTCGTGACAGCTCTGTTGTCTCTACCATTACCTTTGGTAATTTCTAAAGCTAAATATTGAGCAATACTACATTTTATTATACCACCTAATGTATCATCATTTAAACCGACATTAATTCCTTTACAGTAGCTCTAAAATCAACAAAATAAACACTAAAATATCAAATGTGTAGCAAATTTAGTAACAGGTAATTCCAAATTGATAGAATTCTAAACCATAAAGTTACAACATATAATGGCACGGACACTATTTCTAAATATCCATAATAGTAAGGTCTCGTTTTCCAGTGTTAAAGAAGTTAAAGTTTCCAGAAATTAAAAGAAATATGCTGCATGATAAATTACTTCGAATACCTCTATTACAAAAAGCTTAAGAACCTGTTTATTTTACTAGTATTGTTGTTAAAAGAAAACTAATTATTTATGAACTTATGCCCAGTCAGGTGTAGGAGTGTTGGTAACAGCATACACGAAACAACACACGAAAAGTTTCCTACCAGTCAGCGACAGATTAATGATTATCAAATTAAATGGACAACCATTCGATATCAATATAATACAAATATACGCACCGACAGCAGACAGCCCATACGAAGATCTTGAGATTTCCTATTCCGATATTGAAAAGATCAAAACACATAACATTAGACGAAATTAACATATTTATAGGAGATTCGAATGCCAAAGTAGGAGCAGAAAAAGTCGAATCGATCATCGACCCATATGGTTTAGGAACCAGGAACTAACGAGGCACATGCTTTGTTGAATTTTGCCAAGAGAACAACCTGATGGTTCTTAACACATGGTTTAAATTACCTAAAAGACGTCTATATACGTGGAGGTCTCCTCAAGATCGCGAAAGAAATATTGTGAGGAACCAAATCGACTACTTTACAATTAAAAAAAGGTTCCGTAATGGTATTCTAAATGTAAAAAACGTACCCAAGCTGTGACATAAATTCAGACCACAATCCTGTAGTCGAAACTATCAGATTAAAACTTAAAAAAGTAGACAAGGCTAAACCCAGTCAGAGAATAGCATGGAGTAGTGCTGACCAAGGACAGCAACAGAAGTATGAAGACATGGTAGACACGCAGTTAGAGTCTAAGACAATAGCTCCCACTAAGGAGAAGACAATAAAAGAAAACATTGAAGACATGTGGGGAAAATTAAAAATACTGTCTTGAAGGCTACAGACCAAAGTATACGGAAAGAAAACCGTAAACATAGAAAACCATGGATGACAAACGAAATATTACAAATTATGGAGAGGAGACGGATGATAAAAAACAAAAACCTAACAAGATACAAAGAAGAGATACAAGATTTTGATATGAAATATATTTCTTTTTTTCCTAAGCGTTCTAAAATTGCAATTTTCGTTTTCAACGAAATTGATTTTCTTTGATGTTTTTTCTCCATTGTGCTAAATAAAATCTTAAAAAAAAATCAGACTTACTCTTCTAATAAAAAAAAACTTTACAACACTCACTTAATATCTTTCAATCCTTGGAATTCTGCTGATTCCAAGTTGCAGTATAATAAGTGCTGCTTATTATACTACAACTTGGAATCAGCAAAATTTTAAACAACTTAGTATAAAATGAAGCACTGCTAAGAAAAAAATTATTTTAAAACAACAGGTTATACCTTTCAATGCGAAACTCGCTATTATGTAATAGGGACATCATGTAACAAGGGAATCCCCGAAATGCAAAGGCTCACTTTATTGACATCTGGATGTGAATAGTTAATATTTAATTATAATAGTTAATATTAGAAATTTTTAGATGAAAAACAAACCGCACATCTTTAAAATCGCATAAAAATAATCCACATAAAAAGAGACCTTATATATATATATATATATATATATATATATATATATATATATATATATATATATAATGCATTACCTTTATTTTAGATATGGCGTGAAAATCTGTCAGAAATTCTAAAATATCACCAAGATTTAACTTCATACATTCTGATATACCAGTTGTAACTCCAGAACCATATTCTAATGTTATCGATGAACAGTCCTTTATTACAACATTAGATGGAATCGAACCTCCTATATCCTAAAAATAAAAAAAAACATCAATATTTGCATGTCTTATATTTAATCAAGATTACCTATAAAGGAAATTAACAGATAGAAAATAACTAAAAAAATACAAAAGAATTTGGAGACATGGAGTATTGAATAACAGGGGAGTTATGAAGATCACTTATGAAACGTCGCTGTGATATATTAATCGGTTAAAAACTGCACATAAAAAATTATATATTATCATGAATAACCTCTGATCTATCTACTGGCTCCTTCAATTTATTGAAAGAATGATAATTAGAGGGCTCTAGTTCCGGGAATTACGGTAGATAAGCCACAATGCCCCATTCAAATGCCATCAGCAGATCCAACGAATATGGCGTTATATGAATGAATGGCACACACGACTTAATATTCAGCTGTTTTATCTTTGACTTTTGTTTAATTTCTTTAGGGTATTGCAATGTTCAGTAGCATTGATGGTGAAGAGATAAGATCTGATTTTTCGGTGATGCTCATTAGTTTTTTACACCTCAATCTTGGCCTACCACTGCTCCAATTTTCCAAATGTGACGATAATAGGGATTATCTGGAAAAACTTTTTATTTATTCTTTCTCCATCTTAGCTTACTTAGTTTGATGAACAATATTACTTTCTTGCTATAAAAAATTTATTTAAAAATTTCTTTATAAAAGGTATATATTAAAACATCCTATCGGGCTTTTTATAAAGGAATTTTTAAATCATTTTTTTGTGATACATGGTATACAGCCAGCTACAGGAATTTAGTTTCCTTGTGGATTCTTGCTATCTCCTATTTATATATATACATACATTTATATATATATATATATATATATATATAATATATATATATATATATATATATATATATATATATATATATTACGTTTCTGTATAAGGCTTCAACCTCTCGTGCAAAATGTTTGACAATATCTTTCTTTTTTCGGTGTATACGTTTTTCCTCTCTCCTTAAGTTTTTGTATCTATCTGTTGTCCTAGTTTTCCGTTGTTGCATGGTCCTAAATGCCTCGTTCTTCCCATCTGTTACTTTTTTGCAGTCTTAGTCGAACCAGTCGTTTCTTTCTTGGGTTCGGGATATTCCCAATGTGTTTTCGGCTGCTAATTTCAGAGCCTCCTTGCAGTTGTTCCACATTTCCGTGCTTGACTGGTCGACTGCCCAGGTGTGTTCTAGGGTTTCTTTTGTATGTGACTGGAACTGTTTCTCTTTGTTTTAATTTTTTAGGATATGTAAATTATATTTTACTTGTCTAGTGCCCCTTTCTTTCTTGGTATTGGAAGAAAGGGGCACTAGACAAGTAAAATATAATTTACATTATGTGATTACATTTAACGTGAGGACTATATTTTCTGCGGCAGTAAAGAAGGCGTTAAAAAGTTTTCGGTCAGTGCGAGCGGTTAGATCCAGATCACAAGCATATCTTCCTCTACTGTATAATTTGACATCTCTTCAACTCTTCTTCGATACTATATTGAAGACGTGCCACAGCATCACACAGGTTGTGAAAAATTGTATTTACTTAATACCTTAATTTGCTTAATTTTTCTTTTATGTGTATTCCATTGCTTTATGTATGTCAAACAATTTTATTAGTTTTCTAGTGTGTGGTGGTTCTCTAAAAGTCAAGTGCCAAGGGGCTATTCAAAAAAATATCCATATGTCTTACACAGTCTTTGTGTTGTTAAATTAAAAAAAAATCATCTAATTAAATGAAAATATACAAGAAATGACGTAAAATAGATCCGTTATAGCAAGAACTACATATTAATCATGCTTTTCAAAAATAATTAATTTTTTTAATAAAAAAATATGTACCTGTAAAATTAGATTTATTAACATTAGGAGATTTGCATCCGGTATAGTAGTTTTGAACTTGAGTGCCTGTACTAGTTCAAAAACAACCATTCTACTAAGTATTAATTTATCCCTTTCCTAAAACGCGTAAAAATATATTAATTTTTATTTAGTACCAATTTTATTTGGCTGAAAATAATATATTATAGTGTTACGTTAAATATGACTCATACTACTACCTAAACTGTAAACATATCTTTCTAACAAGTATTTTTTAGTAGGTTCCCCTCCGCTAAACCTGTCTCATGGCGTTCGAGAATGTTCAAGAAAGGTCACCTGCCGGTTCGAGGGAACTCCCGAATAACGGATATTAAATATATTTAGTGAAACTTTTTATCGTTAAGAAGTCAGTCTGAAAAGAATGATTGTATCGAGTCGAGTTTGAATTGTAGCGGGGAAATAAATTATATAAATTAGAATAGTGTAAATAGTGTAAAATAAATTAGTGTGTAAGATTATATATACATATACATATATATATATATATATTATATATATATATATATATATATAAATATATATATATATATTATATATATATATATATATATATATATATATAATTAAATAAAGACTATAATAAATTAAGTGTTTTATAATAAATAAACTATTGTGACAGGTCATGGTAACCATTGGATCTTAACTATTCTTTTTTATATAACGATGTTTTGTCTCTTCGAGAGCCGTGAGACTTTCTCGTGGTGATGAAAGGGTTTTTGACGCTGGGTCGTGACCGTTAATACCCTTAGGTAAGGACGACCGAGTGATAACTAAGGACAGCTCAACTCCGAGCATAAGACGACAAATAGGTTTCATTAGCATTCTCCCGAGATTTTGAGCTCTGCAGGGGATAACCATTAGTTGCCTGGTTTCTCATAGGACAAGAATGGATTAGAAATATCCAAACACAGGAGTCGCAGGTATCCGGAAGCTATGGAATTGACTCCTGCTACAGGCTATCCTGTATCCAGAGAGCGAGCCCTTGCTTCAACCTATCCATTGAAGCAACGCCTCTGCAATGAGACTGTGAGTCTAAGCTGAACCAGTACACCAAGTAGATCCGACTAAGTGAGGAAGTTGTTCTAGAGGAGGAAGAACATCCTATAGGTATATAGATGAATGTGAATAAGCAAATAAATTCCCGTGGTTTAACTGAGAACAGATGCCATATATTGTCTTAAATACATAAAAGCGATAGCAAACTTCGCTAGGAGATATAAACTTCTGAATATTTCGTGTAGCGCAAAGAACAGAAAACAGTATTAATACACCGTTTTCGTTCATGGTCATGAAGCTAGATGGCAGCTTTCTACGTTAACACTTAGGTGGTAAATATGTAGGAGACGTTTTTCGGTCTCCTGTGTTTGTTTTTGTATTCAGTTTCCGTATCTGATAAGACTGGGAGGTCGAAATGGCGTTATAATGCGGTGTTATTTTTAATTCAAATACAGAGCAGCACAGGCCAAAAAATTTAGTCGGTATATTCCGTTTCTAGGGGTAAATCGCTCACCTGTTAGATTTGGTATAAACATACGTATTTTATGAAGCAGTGAATACTTTCTACGTTTTTATTTTCATATTGGCCTAAATCTAGTTACGTTTAAAGTTAAATTAAATAAAAAAACTTAACCTTACCTTTGTAAATGCTTTGTAACACAAATAACAGATTTCTATAAGGCAACCATAATTCATAGTTTGGGTTTGTATTGCGTAGCTGAGAACTTTGGAAAAAGGCTCCAAAATACCCTTGAATTGTGAAATCAAGGGAATTTTAAAAAGTGACGACATTATTTTTAACAGCGGAATAATATCATCCATAGTATTTAACAAAAACAATAATTTTCGATATAAAATCTCTACTTGTTGTAAAACTGTACCCCACATGGGTGTACTTGCACCTAAGGCAACTTCAAGAGGCAGACAGTTCAAATAACACGCCATGTTTTGTAAAATTGTCGGCAAAATATCAACAGGTAACGTTTTCTTCGAATTCAATGTCTGAAAAAGAGTTTAATATACTAATGTGATATAAAGAATTTTAATTTTAAAACTTTACAAAATTTATATATAAAAAATTATTTAAATTTTTGTTTTATGATTTATATCACACCCTTTCAATTTTGTTATCTCAGATTTTACTTGTGCTTCAATATCTATACTTTACAGCTGATGGGTTAGGTCCAAAGTATAATGGAATAAAACAACATAATATGATATGAAAATAATGTAATAAAATAAACTGATTGAAATATCTCCAAAAATTATTACCATACAATGTTTATCAAACAAAAATCGTTCTTCGTACGTGAACCTTCAATAATGCATGGATAATATAATACAATTACAATCTAAAATCGAGCTTAGTATTCTACATAAACAAATCAAATAATATCCAGTGTCCTTCCTAATGCAATTTTGGTATATCTATTGTACCAAGAAAAATTTGTATGAATTATTCAATTCTCTCCACAGCTCCGTCCCCTCTCAGAACAAATTTGATCTCCTTCGACTATCGACAACTTATTCACACGTTACTAGTATGATATAATATTATTTGACCCAAAATTCTTAAATTGAAATTAATTATGAATGTTTCTCCCGTTGAAACGCTTCCTCTGCCTTAAGTTGTCCAATTCCTCGTTCTATGCAAAATAAACTATCAGTTTTTAGTAGCCTCCTATGTAATTGGCAATATTAAACAAGATATTGCAATTTAGTGACTTCAATGCCCTCTTTCGAATGCACGTACCTTTCCAATGATGCCAGCCTCTTTTCCTCTCGCCAAACTTAATCTCTCGTTCCGAAATAAACAGCGATACGTAGAATACAAGAAAAGTTTACTTACAAATTTGTACCAGATCAGCTACCGTCGGACACACTTACTTCACCAACTCACAACTTATTCTTTATCACTTACTACCCCTGGAGACCACCTCGAAAACCAACCATTCACTTTAAGAAACTGGAACTAACTAACTCTCTCATCTTCTCTATCCATCCATCCAACCCCTCATTATACACACCCATCTCACCACTTTCCAAATTCTCGGCCAATCAGAAATTTGCATACCACTCCCCACATAAAATCAGAAATACCTACAAACTTTCCTAATTCATATTATTTCTACAAGCACACTTAATTTCTACTGGGTATTTACAGATTCCGAAAAACCATTTACTTATTAACTATTTTTATTGTCCTGTTCATGGCACAAACCCGGATTACGGAACACTTTATGGTTTATGGAAAAAAACCATCGTTAACTTCTATTCATTGTACCCGCACTATTCACTTGTTATATTTATACAAAAGATTATTTATGACTAAGATTAGCTTTGGTTAATTCCAGGCAGTTCGGAGTATTTTCACTTTCTATAATCTCTGAAATATTGATTTCATCGTATATTTAATATTTTTACTCTTCAATTTTGAATACCGTAACAATACATATATTTACTGAGAATAACTTTGCATGTCTTTTTGGGTTTTCCTCGTTTTTTACGGTTTGGTGGTACCCACTGCATAATCTTTTTGGGCAATCTTGTGTCTTCCATTCTTTGAACATGACCACACCAACTTAACTGTTTCCTCTCAATATCTGTTATTAAGTAACCGTCTACTCCAATTCTTCGTCTTATTTCCTCATTTCGAACTCTTTCCATGCGGGATATACCTAACGATCTTCTAAACACGTCCATTTCTACAGCTTTTAATTTTTTTCTGTTATTCTCGGTTATTCGCCAAGTTTCTGCTCCGTAAAGTAGGCTGCTTTTTATTAGTGTTTCATATATGTATATATATTGTATTTTCGCTTTATTCCTATTTCAGAGCTCCAAAGTATTCCATTTAGGCAGCCAATTGTTCTTCTAGCTTGTGTTAACCTTTTCTTTATTTCCTCATCCTACACCTCTACGGCTCTCTATTTTGCCTTTAAGGATCAGTTGTAATATTTTATATCGACTTCCCCTTACTATATGTCCCAGATAAGACATTTTTCGATGTTTAACAGTCTTTAGCAGTTCTCTGTCTTTGTTGACGCTCCTTAGTACTTCTTCATTAGTTTTTCTTGCTGTCCAAGGTATCTTCAGCATTCGTCTATGAATCCACATTTCCAATACTTCAATTTTGTTCATGATCGATACTTTTAGCGTCCACACTTCTGCACTATACAAAAGTACAGACCAAACATAACACTTAACCATTCTTTGCCTTAGTTCTAAACTGAGATGGTTATTGCAAAGAAATATGTGCCATATTTTATTAATTCGGCTTTAATGTTTTTTGGGCCAGGAGCTCTACCATTTTTTAGTTCAGTTACAGCCTTCTTCACCATATCAACTCCCACTACTATCTCTTCGTCTTCAACGAATACTTCCGTTGGTGATTGTGTGGTATATTCTGCTCTACTTTCTGTTAGCAAATTCTCGTAGTGTTCTTTCCATATTTCTGTTGGTATTAACTGAATAGAAGTAGTATTTCTTTCTGTGTTCTTTATTTTGTTTAAAAGTTTCCATGTATCTGAACACTTTCTTCCGCCTCTGTAAGTGTTGATCTCTTGGCATTTCGTATCCTACATTTCTTTTTTTTGCTGCTATTACTGCTCTTCTTGTTGTTCTTCGTAAATCCAGATATTTGTCTTTGTCTACTTGATGTTTAGTACTATTTAAATGTTGTAATCCTTTGAACTACGTCAGTATCACCAATTTTTCTCCCAACTATTGTATTTGATACTCTGATATTTTATTGATTACTTTTCTGGTTGCTCCGGATTACTTTTCTGGATGTTTCTGCTCCATACGTTAGAACTCGGAGTACACATTGATCAAAGACCTGCCTTTTCAAGCACATGGGAATATCTGATCTAAAAACTTCTCTCAGTTTTCCGTAAGCCGCCCATGCCAGTCCTTAGGGGGGGCTTAGGGGGTAAAAAATTATTAGGGATGATAAAATTCAGTAAAAACCTGGCAAGCAATTTATACTTTCAGGTACAAGTAAAGTACAGTAAAATTGTAAAAATAGATTTTTTATTACCTTAAATATTAACCCAACATAATTATTGACTTCTCATACGAAGTAGTTGAGGGGTGAATAATTACTAGTGTGGCAATAAATTCGTAAAAGCCTAGCACATCACTGTGGTGTATCATAAATATTTTTTTTGGAATTCTACTAGTTTTAACTGTAAGCCAGCAGAATCGCTCCCCTTAAGGGTGTTTTCTTGGTGAAAAATTATTAGGGTGGTAATAAATTAGTGAAAAATGGGTAAAAAAATATGCTATCGGCAAAAAGTTTTTTTCCTGAATTTTGCTAGCTTGAACCTTAGGCCAGCAGAATCGCTCCCCTTAAGGTTGGTTTGGTGGTGAAACATTATTAGGGTGGTAATAAATTAGTGAAAAATGGGTGAAAAAGTATTACGTACGTTAAATTGGATTTCGCTCATTTGTCCACCCTAGTTTAAGGGTCTTTTCTAAGCAGTAAAAGCAATGTTTCAGAAGATATTTTTTTATAACTTTTTCGAAACTATTAAAGCTTAGCTGTTTCATATTTTTAGTAAAATATTATAACAGTTATAGTTAAGGCAATTTTTACCGGAAAGACGCAATCTACAGCGATTTGTTCGTAAGTAGTGAAATTTTCGCATATTGTGATCGTGAACATCAGTCCGCTGTATTAAATAGGCCGGTTTTCTGTAAATTTCAGACAGATTTTGAAATAAGAATAGAGTAGGTAGCGGCATAATTTTGATTTTGATAAAGAAAGGACGGCAGTGTTCTAATTAAAAAACTGACAATTACAGACCCATAAGCATTCTATCTATTTTGGGAAAGTGTTATCAAACAACAATTTTATTCCTATGATGAGAGAAAGATACCTTATATGTAGAGCATTTGTCAGTTATATACTACTATTCATTGCAGTTAAAAGTAATATCGGGTTACCCAAGAATTTTAGATCATCGGCTTTCATATCAACACCTATGCGTGACACATTGTTATATACACGACCTTGTCTAGGAATAGTGTTTACAGTAAATTTGTTGCTGTCAATAATGGGTTTATATTTGTTTTCTTTTTCGATTGGGTATTCCAAGATGAGTGTCCTGTTTTTAGATTGTTTGCATTTTCTTTCTGTTTATCATTCATGTACTTGGTACATGGTCGACTTGTGTTTTTGTTTAATGACACTCCTGAGCTGCTCGGGCCTGCTTATTTACATTTTTTTTGGTAGATGACGTTAGTACGGGTATGGCTGAATTTCTATTATATTAATTTCATAAAAAGAAATTAAATCTTGTTGCTCCTTCGTGCGGTTTTTGAAATGGAATGATAGTTTACTTACTGCGGCAAGTTCACTTTTCATTTTACTTAATTCCTTGTTTGACTTTATGCACTGATCACACACAATATATCGTCTATGTTATGTTCAACATTATATACTCTAAGATCTCTTCGCACTGTTAGTGTTAATCTATTAACCTACTCTGATGACTGAGGAACTGGACAGTGGTAACTCAAAAATTACTGTTCTTCATCTTCCCCTTTGTAAGCAATTCTGCTTGTTCATTGGCGGATTCGTACCTCTATATTGCGCGGTCGTCCGATACTTCTTCTACCAATTGGTGACTTATCTCTTGCTATTTTCACGACACGGGTCTCCTCCATTTTGCTTGTGTAGTTATTCCATTCTTTTTTCTATTTTGTGTATATTCCTTTATGTAAATGTACGCTACATTTTCTTCTAATGTCTTCACTGCTCTTTAGATCTCTCAGCGTATTTCCTGTAATTCTTCTCAGTACTCTCATCTCTGCAGTTTCCAGTAGCCTTTGCGTTGTGACTGTGTCGGGTCTTGTTTCTGAGGCATATGTAATTATTGGTCTTACACTGGCTTTATTAATTCTTGACTTCATCTCAGTGT